ATGTAAATTTTCTGGAGCAACAGAACAATGGGAACAGTAATGAGATCACGCCACGGTTGCGGTCTTGGAGCGAGGTAGATCATCAATAAGCCGAAACATGGACATTGCGAAATACGTGTCCCGAAATTAGGCTGGGTGCACATAGATACAACGTTTAAAAGATTCGATGGCCTTGCGTTGCTCTGCACTGTCATACTTCAAAGATACGAATGCCTCAAATTTTTTTTTGCAGAAGTTAAAGTTTGTTTGCAGAGCAGAAGGAAAAGATTTACGTTTGGAACGCGAGAAAGCAGCTTTTCGAGGAACACCGCGTTATGCAAGCATTACAGCTTTGAGCATGGTAAGTGACGCGCGATTGGTCTAATAGTACCACATTACAACAATGCTTTTTAGAAAGAGCAGTCACGCAAGGATGACATTGAGTCTTGGTGGTACATGATTGTGGAATTGATGGTTGGCCAACTACCTTGGCAGGATATGCAGGTAAAAATCATGGAAAGATGGAGATTTGAACAAACTAAAAAGCAACATTGAAGCCTGATCAAATTGATGCAATCCTACATATGAAGAAGAAAGTGCGACTGCCAAAAAATTTGAAAGTTGTAAGTTATAAGACCTATCCATTACGCTCAGTCTGTAGTAACTTCTAAAACAACAAGCTATGCAAAACGTGTATGAATGTTTTTCAGTTCTTGCAAGGTACGCCTCAGGAATATATGGGAAACATCATTCAATACGTAGACACTTTGCATTACAGCTCAATCCCAGATTATGATCACATTGCTGCCCAATTATCGACAGCGATCAAAGTAAGCATTCATTGCAGACTTCAGAATAGCATTAATGATGATGCGTCATTATCATTTGGTTAACTACACCATACCCAGGCGCACTACCTGAAGTGGGATGCACCACCAGATTGGGATCTCATGACGAAATACAAAGGTCCAAAGTATGAGAAAGTAGAGCTAGAGGTGTTACAAAAGGGTTAAGGTAACTTAACACCACCACTTGCTTTTGAACTTTGCTTGTGAAGCATTTAAGAACCAATTTTCAGGCCTTGCGAGCAATAAAAGAAGTCATTC